CGTCTGTGAGGGAGGAGGGAGAAGCAGAAAAAAAAAAAAAAAAAACAAAAGAACATCCTCCCGAACGAGTTTCTTTTCATTCATTCTATTCAAAAATCGAAAAGTCCCACGAGAAGAATTTTCCCCCCTACTCACACGGAATTCGAGTTAACCGTGAGAAAATCGCTATAGGGAGTGAAAATTTCATTCGAGATATCCGGAAATTCGAGATAAGCGAATTTGAGTTAAACGGAGCATTTAACATGGTGTCCTACGGGGTTCCGCCGGGACCAAGCTTTGAACTTTGAGATAAGCGGAATTTCGACTTATGAGGATTCGAGTTAACGAGTTTTCACTGTAGTTCATATAATTGTCAGGAAACTTTTTTGAAACACTAAGCTTCCAGTTTCGGGGTTTAGAGTGGCAGAAGGCTACTTAGTCTTGCAGCAGTACAAAATGGCTCTTCGGATAGACGTTTGGTTCGGCGACTCTTGTGAAGCGTGAAGTCGGAAAGCATTTCGATACCAAAAACAATACATTTTTAGAAACTTGGAGACTGAGAACACATGAATAACTCATGAGCATGAGTGCAATACATCGAAACTAAACGTTTAGTGTTCACTTACTGTCTTACATTCATTGAGCCGTTTTTCTGAGATGATGACGGAAAAATGACGAATGTCAGCGGTGAAACTTATCATGAAATGTTCTAGATGTTTGCGATTACTCAATTAGAGCCCTTTGACATTGATGAGATCATGTTTCAATGGGATGGGGGTCCACGTTGTTGCACAATCAACGTGCGACAGCTCTTAAACCACGAATTCCCAAATCAATGGATTGGGAAACGCGGTTAAATTTCTTGGGATCCTCAGTCACGTGACCTGACCCCTACAGATTTTTTGGTGGACTACGTACAATCAAAAGTTTATTGATGACTATAAAGTCATCAAATTTGGCAGATTTGGAAGGAAGCATCAGGACTTTTTGTATGGAATTTCCCTGGAGATGTTGTCCCAAGTTTCAAATGAGGTTCTTCGGTGGTGGTTTAAGTGAATTGAAATTGGTTTTGCACATGTGAAAGCAGAGTGAAAGCTGTAAAGTTAATTTTCTCGTATTGAAACAAAACTCCCATGAGTGCTCTGAAGAAATATGTATTTTGTTTGCGTGAATCTCTTTCGCTTTTTTTAAACCAGGGAGGGACTTTTGAATCACCCCTGTTTCGGATTTTTTCCCGAACTAAATCTATTTTAGCGTGTGCTCCTGCGCCTGGTATCACGGGTCATTCCACTGAGGCAGGGGAATACAAAAGATAAGCGCTGTTTATAAAGAATATGACCCGAATGCAGAAACCCCCCTGTAATTAAGGGTCCTTCAAAAATCCATGAACGCTTTCGGAGGAAAAAAGCTCTTTAGTTCAAAGGCCCTTTTATCTCCCCTAAACTTATGCATGCAAAAGATCCACGTGATGATACAAATCAATCAGCTTTAGGAATATCGCCCTCCAGGATGTAGAACTTCTGAATCTAATGTTTGAGTCACACATTTTTTACCATCGTCAACCATGAGCCTATAGCAGTGGTGCACAACCTTTTCCTCATGAAGGGCAAAATTGAGATTTATGGCTCATGTCAATTGAGGCGAAAGAAGCCGCATATAAATATGGATTTTTAGGGACCGGAGGCATCAAAGGGGCAGCAAAAAAGGTCTCCACGGGCCGCGGGTTGTGCATCACCGACCTACAGCATCATGCATTCCAGCTTGCAGAGGAAGTAGCAGGGAAAAAAAAAGACAGAAGTGCGGATTAAGTCTCATTTTAACAACTGCTTCATGCCTGAACATAAAGGCTAAAGCTGGGTTTTACCTCGTCAGTGGAAGCTCATGCCTTCGTCAAAGGTGAAACGCGAGAATGAGGAATGCATCTCTCCAGCCATTCTAGGCAATCGGAAGAGTCCTTTATCGCATACTTTTGGTTTTCACCACCATCTTGTTCTGGAAAAGTACTCCAATGCTGTGCTATCACCAGATTGTTCGTAAACAGATATGGATATGTTTTATCATTTCCAAGAATTCCTGTCCGACCAGGGTAATAAAGGAAGAGAGGAGAATGAAGGAAGAACCAGCAGACAGAAGCACTGAATCATGCTGAATGCGATAGAAACTGAATGGTGAAAGAGTCTACATCTAGGACTAAGAGAAACCAATAGTTCTCTTAACACACAGGGTGCTTCAAACGGAACTCGACACTCTAACCAAGGGGTCGGGAACCTATGGCTCATGAGCCAAATTTGGATCACAAGCCGAAAAGTTTGCCTCATTGAGTCATGGCTGAAAATCATGGTTGCTCCTCATTTTTTCCATGTATCAAAGGATGCTTATGTCTGTTGCCAACTTCAGGAAAATTACGTTGTTCTCAGAACGTTCTCAAAAGCACTTCGCTTAATCTTAACACTTTGCGTACCGCTCACGGAGATCTCCATTTTTTAGTCCTTTTGCATAGCCTATGGCCGAAAAAGTCATAGCCTTGTAGGCATCAAGCTTTAGGCTAAGGTAACTGAGGCTTAGGTCAGAGCGGCAGATCGATGGGGTAAAATGTCCGGTACGCAATGTGTTAATATGGCTCACCCACCTCGTAACCCCCGCCCCTGTATCCGCCACTGGCTGGGCATAAGAGAAGATGGCGCGGCAAAAACACCCCTAATTTCTCGAAGGTCTGCCACTGCGCTTCGTTAATCGTCATGGCAAAGGCGTACGGGGAACTGAAGCGGAGTGAAGACGAATTGCAGCCCGAAAATCAAAACGTTACCTTACGTCGTCGCTTTGTAGGACAATGTGGTATGTGGGCTTTTATTGGCGGCCTCACGCTGCTCTGCAGACATCGCAACCCGCCGCGCACGTTTCCGAACATTAATGGCTTTTGGCCACGCTGCGTGAACCTATTTCTATGGCCATGGGTAGAGGACACGCAATCGCGCTGTGCGCACGCGTATCATGTGTGCGCGCGCATGCGACCGACCACCACCACCACGGACCACAGCAGATTTTATTATACAGGGTGGGCCAAAAAAACGCCCCAAATTTGAAGCTTAATAACTTGGACCCCGTTGGGCCAAAACCAATTTTTAAAAAAGCAAAATGAAGCTTGTTCAATTTTCTTTCGAATGATATATAATTTTGGGGGGCATGCTTCAGAGAAATGGCCGTTATTACAGTTTTTTAAAAAGTGACGAAAATTTTTCCTGAAAATGGGCTTTTACTCCAAGTTCCTTTTCCTCAACCTCGAATTTATCACTCACACGCACACAGACCTTTTTAATGACCCAAAAATGGGTCAATGTGCCCTCTTCCACAATCTACAACAGCCTCATGTTACTCGCCTCATGATCGCATGATCTCTCATCAACCAATCCGTATCATGCAGGGGCGCGTGGGAGAAGGGGGTGCGCAGGGGAAACAGGCGACAGCAGCAGCGCGACATTGGAAAGAACTCAGGAAAGCTGTTTTCATGAAATTTTTTCGTCTCTTTTTTTTTAAACTGTAATAGCGGCCATTTCTCTGAAGCAAGCCCCCCAAAATTATATATCATTCGAAAGAAAATTGAACAAGCTTCATTTTGCTTTTTTAAAAACTGATATTGGCCCAACGGGGTCAAAGTTATGAGTCCCTAGGTACTACGACGTTTCGTTGCCGACAATTGGTCGCAAGTATGATCAGCTGCGAGAAACATTCGTTGCGTACATTGTGAAAGCAGATCGGCGAGAGAGGCCTGCGACGAATTGATGGGTCACGGAGTCCCTACTTTTCCCCTTAAGTTTTGAGATTGAGAGATAATTCATTATACATTTTACTATAATCCATGTCAAGTTTATTGTTGTCCTGCAAGGCCCCGAACGTGCGCGGTATCGGATTTGTCAGAGTGGGAGGATATTTGGCATTAGATATGATAAGGGAAACGGCAGAAGAGGAAGGCATCCCCATTCTCTCATCACCTTTCTCTCCATCTCTTCTTTTTCTTCATTCTGTCTTTCATTCCTTTAGCTATTTCACTAAGACTCAACCTGATCATACATATTGATCCTGTAACTGTATTTTGTATTTGTGGTGCCATA